CCGAGAGCGTTGAAGTTTGGTAGGATTACACTTTTCGTGCTAACAGTGGAATCTTAGCATTTCAATATGTGATGTAGTATGTGACGGTATCGTAGGTTCTCGGTGACAAGAACTGGTCATAACTGATAGGAGAAGATGAGGGACTTAAAAGAGGCCACCTACCGATCAAAACCCCAACGTCCTCGGTATCCACGATGTATCTTTGACCGTTCAGTATGTTTCATTCGATAAGACGGGATCGGTAGAGCAGGGTGACAAAAACGAGTGGTAAGCGCAGTGATAGGGACCCGTTAGGGCAATACGATAAGCAGATTAGAACTTCGTTCATTTCTTACTGTTAGATTACGACCACTACCCAGCAAGGTTTGTGATCCAATGGAGGGTCCTCTTCGGTCGATATCATTTGCGACAAAACTTAATAGACCGCCCGTAATCTGGAATACTCAACTAATGATATCTCCGTGAAGAATAGGGTCCATTGATAAAAAAAACTTCTGATAATGGTGCTATCATCGCTCAAAACATCTCCACAGCATCATCTTTGGTTGTCTAACAGTCGGATTTTTGATGGGCATTTCTTTTTAATAAAGGGAGCAAGAGATCGAGAATTCCAATTAAAGGCGTAAGCACCGACTTTCACTGAGTGCCATTTGCGCTGCCCTGTTAGTCCTGTGTCGAATTTCGTGTACAGGAAACTATTATTTGTTTCAAAAAAGGAGTGGAGAGTTAGCCGACTTACTACAACTTTGTCAGAGAAGGAGGGAAGCTCAGCGTTAGCCGGGCGAACTGACTATGGGATATGCTACGACGACATAATCTATTTCGAGCTCTGTTTCAGTTTCATAATCTCACTCAGCTAAACAGCGGAAAAAACTTAAAATCTAAAAACTTTGAAAAAGGGGAAAAAATTCTTCAGTTGAACATTTCTCGGGATAGGATGTTTGACACAAGAAGGAGGAGAGCCTGGCGTTAGCCGGGCGATCCGACTGGTTTAACATATAACGCGCTAATGTCTGCGTGTTTGAAGTGTGTGAGTGAGTGTGCCCGACCAGAAACTCATAGCTCATGCCCCTTGACCTAGAACAGTCAAATTTGTTAGGAGCGCTGTCGGCAGGATGGGAACACTTATACTGAATGACAGAACCTCCACCCAGGATTGGCAGGATGAGAACACTAGTGTCAGGTGGACCGGGTCGGGTCCGGGCGGGGGTACAGATGGCAGGATTGGCAGGATGAGAACACCAGTGGTAGGTGGACCGGGACGAATCCGGACGGGGTGCGCGTGTAAATTTGCAGTCTGGACCTGAGCGACTCTAATGTGCTAGGAATAAAGGCGGCACTGTGGGAATCTGGTGGGAGGTGGCATGACTTTACTCTGCACGGGGAGCGGGAAATACACGAAAATTGATAATTTTGACCTTGGGCGTCGTTAAAGTTTGGAACTAGTGCAGGCGGCACATTTACGACACCGAGGGTAAGTAGTATAAGGTAGCTGGACTGGAGTCAAGCGGAGGCAGAGAGGTGGATGTATGGGGCGTGATGTGTGTTCCGCTGGAAATCAGTAACTCCGGTTTTCTTGGACCGAAGATTGTGAACTTTTGAAAGTGCAGACTGCGGATCAACTCCAAGAAACGATGGATTAGAGCTGGCATATAAGCCATTAAGAAGGCGAGGGCGGGGAGTCGGTAATGTAAGGGATAGGAGTACGGTGCTCGGATAGCACAAGTACGGGTTCGAGTCCCGTCCGAAGAAGAAGTTTTGTCCAAAACTCGCCAACCTCGTAAGACGTTCATAATTCTGTTCAAAAACGTTCCAGAAAGCGGGAAAAGCAGTTTGAGGTTATAGAAGACGGGTGGTGAAATACCCAAAGTGGGTGGGGTTTGCACTATAGTAGGCACTATAGCAGAGGTCATTATCAAAAATAGCTATTTTCAAAACTGCTCTACAACGCGGAAGAAAAGTGTGTAGAGGTCGTAGAGGAGGTGTAGTTAGGTACTCAAAGTGGGCGGGGTTTGCACTGAGGTGGGCCTGACTGGGGTAAAAAATTCACAGCTCTGTCCAAACGTTCTATGTATGAGTTATCATCACTACTCACTACCTATGAAATCATCATCAGTACTTACTAATGTAGAGAATTCGCTTCTGTCTGTCTGTTCAATTGCCCCGAAATTCCGCATTACTTGACGAAGTACCTGAAGATTTGGGATGGGTGGGGTCTAGAACAAAACCGCCAGAGCACATATGAGCTTAAGAGGACCACGCTCGCAAGCGGTGACCTGCACCGAGATGGGCGGTGCAAAGAGGAAAGCTTCATATTTGTTTCGGAAAAGCCCATGCACCGGGGAAAATGGGCAAAGGTTAGGAATGGGTCAGCATTTTCGACAAGGAGACCCATCCGCGGTGAGCGGAGCATCTTCGACCTTTTTACATGAACTCATAGCTCACCACTGCATATAGCCGGATGTGAACCATCTCTTTTTTATGCGTTCTTTGTTGTGATGCACACATTATTTTGGGGTGTGGGGCGCTTTAATGCTAGGTAACGTAGGTTCAGGCCTATTTCAGTTTAATAACAAGACGAAATAGGGTGAAGAATTGAAAAAAGAAAAGAAATGTGTCATAGGCGTAAAAGATGCAAAAGTACAGACTGATAATTCCTCCTTGTTTTAGACTGAGAATACTGACCACGTCAGCCGTCTTATTAAGCCACCAGTTGGGCTATGCACGCCGATGTGTGCAACACATGCCCACTACCGCTTACCTACGACTTGTTAGATAACCAATATGAACAGTATTGGTTGACGTTCCATTCCATAACTGTTTCGTCACCGCGCTCACGTGACATTCACACTCTTCGTCGTGCCCACGTGAATTTCGGAAGGACGCACAACGGGCATGCAAAACGACCCATAAAATTACCGCCTTATATATAGAGACAGTCGGACCTCCCGGCTAACCCCGAGTTTCAATCTCTCATGATAGACTTGCGATAAACGGCAAACAGCACACTCCTTCTTTAGAACGAATGATACTTTTCGGAACACGAGGTTCGGTATTCAAAATGTGCCGATGCCTATACCTTTGATTAGAATCTGTCCGTCTCGAACTGTCGCTGTTGATGTCAAAAATAGTGACCCATTGACGATTCAACTGGTAGGCATACAAAGCCTTGAATGGTACTCATCGGGTTATAATAATACCATTATCAAATGTCTTTATGAGTGAAGCTCCTTTTCTCTACGGGTACATCCTTAAATGAGAATCCAAAATTATTAGCGGTCGGATAAGTTTGCCATGAATGGCTGCTTTCATAGTCCGCCGGCCGGCCGGCTGGTCGGCGCGCCGGTCGTAAAACGAATTAGTTCGTGTAAGAAATCTACGTCTCTTGCATTTTATTGCACGGTAAGATTCTTTACGGTCGGGTTGGGAAATACAATGCAACAGACGTAGATGTCTAACACACGAACTAATTCGTTTTACGTCAGCCGGCGCGCCGGCCGGCGGACTATGAAGGCAGCCAATGAAATCGAAGCAGAGAGAAATCGTGATCCTTCATTGAATCGCAAACTTCGCTGGGTAGCGGTTGTAAGCAAGAAGCCGAATTTCATAATCGGTCCCTATCAGTGCCCTTACCCTCCTTATTGAATGAAACATATCAACGAATCAAAGCTAAATCGGAAATAACAAAGGCGCTAGGTTTCAATTGGTTATTATATCTTGTTCTCTAAGGCCTCTTCTTTCGTCAATGTTCCCATCCTGCCCCCTCCACTCCTATTGATTTCGCTCTCCAAATCCGCGGGGTCAGGAGTGATGGATTTGTTTCGCGCACACCCCATGTGGTGGGTGGCAGGACCAGACTGTGGGCGAAGTCCGGTCCTGCCACCCACCACATGTGTTCTCATCCTGCCTTGGGTACTCCTACCGTATTTGAACTTTCTGGTTCGCAGGGAGACGAGTTATGATTTTCCGCTGAAACACTTATTTTGCTCAAACCCCGTCCCTGTGGACGGATTCCGGTCCTACCACCCACCATGTGGTTCCCATCCTGCCGCCTGTGCTCCTATCAAATTTGAACGTCCTAGGTCCACGGGGTCAAAAGTTATGAATGTGTGTACAAACATACGGACAAACAGACGACGGAAGGACGGACAGACAGACGCGAGCGCTTTATATAAAGTAAGGATACTTGTTTTAGAAGTCTCGGTTCTCTACTCTCTCCTAGGCGGGGAAGGATATAGATGAGCACACTTACGAGGGAATTATGAGCATGAGTTGCCGATATTAAGAGTATCATGGTACGAAGATATTCTTTTATTATCTTGAGGTCGCAATAGCGTAAAGTGGTTTTGGAAACTGTAGAGTGATTGTCGAATTCGGTGAAAATGGTAGTTGGCAGGAGGGATGGAGGCAGAGCACACAACAATGAGCGCTAAAGTGCAGAGTAGCCGACTTTACTTGCGCTTATAGCCGTTCTTAGCATATGGGAACAGTTTTTACCTGAACCATCCTAATTATAGTATAATCGGCTAAGTGTGTCTCTTAGTGTGTTTGTGTGTGTTTGTATGTATGTATGTATGTATGTATGTATGTATGTATGTATGTATGTGTGTCTGACCGGAAATTCATTACTCCTGTCCCCGTGGACCGAAAGCGTTCAACCTTGGTAGGAGTACAGGAGGCAGGATGGGAACACTTTTAGTGGGTGGTGGGACCGGAATCCGCCCAAAGGGGGCGGGGTTTGTGAGAAATAAATGCTTGAGCAAAAATTCAGAACTCATGTCCCCTTGATCCTAGAGCACTCAAACTCGTAGGGGTACGGACGGCAGGATCAGAACACTTATGGTAGGAAGCAGGATCAAACTAAGCCAGCAATGGACGGGGTTTGTGCAAAAATTCACAACTCCTGCCTCCGTGATCCTAGAGCACTCAAACTTGGTAGGAGTCCGGACGGCAGGATAGGAACACTAATGGTGGGTGGCAGGGCCAGATCCCGCCCACATTGGGCGGAGTTTGAACGAAGATTCATAACTTCTGTCTCCGTGGACCTAGAACGTTCAAATTTCATAGGAGTTATGGGAACAGGATGGGAACACTCACTGTAGGTGGCAGGAAAGGCCACAAGGGCGGTGTTTGCGGAAAATTGCCAATTTGGCCGTAGGGCGTTTATAGTATTCCAATTGCACGAAAATTTCACGGAGGTACGCTTCCTTAGCCCATCTGTCCTTTTTTTCTCTGAATAATCGCCTTTGTGATATTAGACGATGTTCTTACCAGACACAGCGAAGGTAGCTTACAGAAAAAATCGCTTTCAATTCGGAGCTAATACTGAGGGTGTAGAGCTTTCAAGGGAAAAGGAGAATCCGAAGTGTTATTTACGCATAGCCAATTTCTTGCAGAAAGGAGGACCGCCCGGCGAAGCCGGGCGACACGATAAGAAGGAGGGAAGCCCGGCGTTAGCCGGGCGGCCTGACTGGTAGAAGAGAAGGAATACCGGGGTGATTATCTCATGCAAAGGCTGGATGAGAGAAGAATTGAAATTTCAGCTGTCTCACCCACCCGATGCCCCTTGTTTATTTTGAAACATGTTTAATAAGATTTATTTAGAATATTTCGGGAACGAATATCTATGCAGTGCTTCGTGCTCCTCGGGCCGTAGGAGTGGAGGCAATAGTGTTCGCTGTTGATCTCCATCAAAGGGAGGCGGCTGCAATGGTGATGGCATATGCAGCGTTTGCAAGGCGTGAGTATGGTTTCGTAAATTTCCTTCGTCTGTTTTCATACGTATTAAATATAAACTCAATTGCACATCTTTCTCATGATTATGTTTTTCGCATGAACTAGTGGCTGATAGCCTGCTTTCCATTCAGAACAAATTTATTGGGCTCGAGATTTGTTCTTTGTGTTCGTCGACGGTGGTGCTCCTGGTATAGATGCGTGGCTGTCGGAGTATCATTTAGTGCGGCACAGTGCACTTCGTGCAGATCGCCTTCCGGAGATGGGTGGTGTCATTATCGGAGGTGTAGCCGTAAAAGTGCGAAATCAATTTTTTTGTGTTTTCTACTTCATCTCGTTATCGTTGCTCATTTTTAATCTATTGGAGCTACTCCAGAGTCATACTGGTAATTCCTTGCCACATCTCAAACTGGAAGTGAATCATTTGAATGGACAACTCCCAAATCTGGATTTGCTCAATTCTATGGTCCGCATAGCCGGATCGGGTAAATTCGCCATTAGCCCGGTCATTTATGATGCTCCTCATCAAGAGCAGGTGAGGTTCAATGTCTGGTGGCATGAATTTTCTTGAATTTCTCTTGAACAAACAGTTTTTCTATTTATTTATTTGCACCACCGGTGCCCAAAAATATGACTTGAGTAGAAACAAAGGCAACCAATCTACTGAATTCCATTAAGGCCAAGTAGAGAGTGCTTTCCTATGATCAATCTGTGCAGTGTCGGACAGGTTTTTTAGATGTATAACGTTCATTACGCCTGAGGTTGTGACCGACTCGTCGTTATCAAAGGTCCGAAAGCGTTCCGAAACTTTTAGAGTGTTAACAATCAGGCTTAACGGAGACCAACTCTAAACTAGTTGCAACTCGCACCGTTGAATTTCCAAATGATTGTGAGTAGAAATTCCAATAAGTCACTCAGTCGGTCAATTCCACCAACAAAAGTTGCTCAACTCTAGGGAAGACAGAGCACTTAGTTAGTGTTTTCTCGTCTCTAGTTTCAGTCCCTGATACGTGTCACGTCACGATACAATCAAAGATCGTGGTTGACCGGGCTGTCTCAATGCTCTATCGTCGGTGTTTGTGGAATCGACGTGTGTGACATGTTGAAATTTTTATCTAGTTGGAAATTTAGCAGTTTGGGTTGCAAGTAATCACGAGGTTGTCTTCGTCAGGCGTCATGGATGACATTACAAGTTTCCGAAACGCTTAGGCCATTGATAGCGATAAAAGCCACTGGTAACGACGAAAAATATAAAAAATACCTGTTCGGCGCAGAAACATTGATCAGTCATATAGCAAATGCCCAGGTTTTAAGGAAGGCGTACACGGAGGTTACTTCATGGGTTTGAAAAAGAACTGGTTGACCAACAAGAGATTGATACTGGCTCACAGGGGCCGTTCAAAATGAAATGTACACCCACATAAGTGTTTTAGACGCTGATGTCAATCCACTGTTAAAATATGCGAGACGATTCTGGTAGCGAAGTTACATGAATTTTCCTTACGCATAATAGGGGGTTCAGGGTATATGTTTGTTGTTTAAACGGCAACCCTGGCTTGCTTTGAGCTGTGGGGTGCAAAAATGTCAGATTCCCTGGAGATGTAGAGGCGAAGAAAGAATTCTTTCCTTTTTTACACCTTCTTTCTCTAAGCCAACAGCAAAATGTTTGCCTGGTGATTATAAACAATCTCCATTTTCTGTGATAATTCGTTCAACTATCTTCTTCGTTCAGCATAGTACTTTGGGGTTTGACTGGATTTGCTTTCCTCCAGGAGCTTAATGCGACATGGAGGAAACTACGTATTCTGACCAGAAAGCGACGAAAGGGAAAATTTGAACAATGGGGATTTTTTGTTCTTTTTTATAATACCAGTCGGATCGCTCAGCTGACGCCGGGCTCTCCTCCTTCATATGTAACGCCCGGCTACGCCGGGCATCCTCCATCTTATGTAATAGGAACAAGGATTAGTACAAGCAATCTGGGATTTCCTTTCGATAAATATAAGATAAACTATTTCATTCTAATAATGGCCAACACTTTTTATGACTGAGAATCTTCGTGACTGGAGTTATACATTACAAAAAGTTTGGCCCACTCGAAAGTGTCAGACTTACTGAGACGGTCGAAATTGCTTCACATGCGCGGAGAGATGAATTTCCTTGCCT